CAATAACTTTAATAGAACTCTAGACAACTGCGTGGGAAAGACAAGTTTGTGCGTATATTATAGGAGTAGACTAGTTCTGGTCACGATTTCTCTCTAGAACCCCAGGTAACTACCTACCTGAATAGGGCCAGTCTCTCAGTGAGCATCTCATTGATACGCAAGTGTTGGTTTGTGGAGATTTGATTGGTTACAGGATTCTTCATCATGAGCTGACATTAGTTAGAGAACCATTGGAAAGCCTGGGAGTACTGGACAGCTGTTTCGTCCTAGTTTGGGACTCTTCATCAGTACGCACCCACCGGGATTCGAACCCAGGACCTTCCGGTTACAAGGCTAGCGAGCTCGTAGACCATTAAGCCACTGGGACCCGAGCTATCATTCATACATTATGTCACCTGCATCCCTAACAGTTTCAACGCTTTCTTTTCTTTCTGCTGTATGTTAACTGGTTCTCTCTGTCTTACATATAATCCCATCAGCCCTACCACCTTCCATTTGTCTCCACTGCTAATTCTTACGATTCCTTTTCTCAACTCTCTTAGAGGAGTGACTTTCTCCAGAGTATTTGTCGGCCGAAACACAAAACTATCTGTAAGTAAGTAGTTTTAGCAACACCACAATCTTGTTAGAAAGCATATATTTCTTCAAGAAAAACTACTGTCATTGATATAATTCATTAAGAAGATCAGAATAAAAATAACGCAGAAACTAATAATGATAACTAACATAAATAAGAGAGAATATAAGGCATCTACAGTTCTACCATACAAGGACTGGATGTCTGAGAATTTACGTCAGATTCTTAGTAAAGCAGGAATTAGAGTTGTGGCATTTAAACCTACAAACTCACTCAGATAGGACAAGCTCTGTAGGTTAAAGGACCCTGTAGGATGACCGAATTAGACAAAATAATATAACTTACAAAATACCTTGCAATAACTGTGAGTTGGATCAACTACATAGGTCAAACAGACCAGTAGATAGGGAGTAATAAGACTGCTTGTCAGAACATAAGAATTCAGCTAAAGCTAGAATGATTGATCCCACGAAGATAAGTAATCTAGAAAAAAGCTCAGAACTACATTGCACTGCATGCATCAACACACAACACGGTGGGTCGGACAGCGTCAAAATTCTAAACAGTAATATAGGTAGGCGGAGACAGAGAGACACGTTGATTACTCAATCTGGGTTCATCGGGTCTACACACCCAACATAGCAAGAGGAATAGGAATGGCTCATCATCGCTCATACCGGAAATATGGAAAATACTAATTCTACCAATTAAGTCAAGCGATGGAAAATAATGGAAAGAAGGCGTTCAGCGAAGAGACTCTTTTCGGCGAATTCATTCACTGAGCTGTACAATCGCATATATATACAATTTTGTTTGTGTGTGTGTGTACATTAATGGAATTATATAAACGAAGTAACAAAGTTGTGTGTGAGTAGTGCCTTGATATGATTATGAATGGCAATAAATTGAGTTCGAAGCGTGTGGTCATCAGTAAATATTATTGTATAAAAAACACTGTGAAACTTTATCAAAATAAAATTTTATCCACAATAGAGAAAAAACGAATGTCCGTGTTTTGAATTTATTTAACAGCAATCTCTTCCTTTTGTGAGCTACGACAATGAAAATAGACATCTCAGATACATAACTATGTTCCAGAAATATATTAGCTGTTTACCACAATAGTTACTAGTCCTGGTACGTTAATTTGTCATTTACTTATTGCAATGAGACTACACCAAACACAGAGAACTACCAAAACCAGAATTCCGCACCAAATAATAATTATTTCTTTTAATTCCTAGAGGAACATATGGCTTCAGGCGCGCGTCTCCATTGCGTTCGGTTCTCTGCTAGAGTCTTCACCTGGCTCCAAGTCTGCCCACGCGCTTTCACCTCCTCTTCACATGACCTCCTCCAAGTAACCCTCACGAGGACGACCAACTCGCTTCCCTTTCGGGTTCCACTTGACCAATGGCTTGTCTAATGATGTCACCCACTTGATGGTTTCCTAAGAATATGGCCAGCCAATCCATCTCCATTTCTCCCTGCCAAATTTTGTACAATCGGTTCCAGGTTGGTTCGCTCCCAGTTGCTGATCTTTACTAGCCATTTGATCTTGAGTATTGAGCGAAGACAACTGTTGATGTTCACTGGTAGTTCCGCTTCCGTTGTTGGTATTGTTGGGTGCGTTGTAGGTGGCTGCCGATTTAGAAGTCTCTTGAAGTGTTCAGGCCAGTTTTTCCTCTGTTTCACTTCATTGGTGATTGACTTTCCATTGTCATCCTTCACTGGCTTAATTTGTGTTGAACGTTTCCTCGATAGGCACCTAGTGTAACAACAGAAGACAAGGGCGAGGCAACAGATCGTTTTATTATGAAAATCAACACGTATTTATACATATTTCACATACATTATTATAGCTTATGCAAGTAGACAAGCGCAGTCATCTGATTGGTTGTTTATCAGAAGTTAGGCAGACAAACGCAGGCTTCTGATTGGTTGTTTCAGGATTCCTCGACAAATAGAGTTCTTTATCTGCGAATCATATTTTGCCACTTTAACTTCGCTGTGATTGGTTGTTGAATCAGCCTTGCTCATATTTTCTCACGGCCTGCTCTAACCACACTAGTTGTTTGGTAGAGTGTGGCGAGGTCTCCTTTGCCTGCAGCTCGTTCTGCTTCACTTGCCATGGCTTCATAATATTTTCTTTTGTCTTCCCTTGCACTCTTCTTTACTCTTTTGTCCAGTGTATTGTAATTTGCATGCAATCCCTATTTTGTTGCTCGTCGGCGCACTGGATAATCTTTTGTGTCACCATCCTTCTCTCTTCTATTAGTCTCCGCGTGTCCATAGTGAGCCACTGTTTGTCGCGTCTCTTCTTTCTGCCTGAAACTTCCATGCGGGTATGACTTCACACCGCAATAACACCCTCAATATTGTTACGAACAACTAAAAATACCGAAATCTGAAAAGTCCTTCTTGTTGTCGAAATAATTTTCAGACACCAATGGTGAAAAAGAAACTCAAGATGCAACGGATGGAGTCGAGATTGCCATAATGGAATAACTTAACATCCACTTAAAGTATTGTGTAACTGCATATGTTCAGATGATGTGAATATGTGTGTGTCGTTGAAAGTCAGTCGTCTTATTCCCATCCTGTTTCAGTGTGTGTTTGTGTACCTCTGCACGCTACAACCGGGCGTGCAATGTCACTAGTCAGTCTCTTCGCAGACTTCATTGTCGTCATTAAATCCTCCAGTGTCTCATCACTCTGCTCTCACTTATTCACACCAATCATCCAAACAGTATTATAAGTCTTCCAAAACGTAGATGTTATGAATTCCCTGGAATAATTTATTTAAAATAATTCCAGCGTGTTTAAGAAAAAATCAAAACAAGATCTGCTTTCTGAACATAGATTGTGGATGAAACGTCAAACTAGAAATGAAATAGAATTAAAAAGTTTTTAAAAAAATGACCAGCTGTAGCGATGCATGCATCTGTGGACAGCAGAATTACGATTGATTTCGGCAATGTCGAAATTCTAGAAAGAGGCTTTCATTCAACACATAAAGAAAAGTTGACCTCCGTAGCCTGACACATTTTAACCACGTCGCATGCAGTAAATGGGAGAGAAGAGACAGACTTATCATCTACCTATAAGGGTAAACTCTAATGAAGCAAGACAGATGAGAAAACAACAATGATATGTATCCATATAATATGTGTGTTTGTTTGACAGTTTGATATATTTTGCTATGTATATATGGATCGATATTCCATTATAATCAGCCAGTCATGTTAAGACTGTCTATTGATTTGTTCATTTTGAATATTCGCTCACACACTTTTTCGGACATTCACACTATTTTCGCTCTCACACTCTTGTGTGACATTTGGATTCTCCTAGTGTTTTGGAAAATAGAAGTATCATCGTAAACCCAGTGGCCTTCTGATTTCCGTCTTTCTTGCGTCAGGACTATTAAATTCTCGACCAGTACATAACAAGAATTTGGTGACGAGTACATAATAAAAGCGTTGCGTGACCGCAGAGCCCAGGGAACAACTGCTTGACGCCGGTCACACACGGTGTGTATGAATTGGTTTCTGGGATTGGTTCCGTATTACTAAACTTAACGCTGGTTACGGACCACCGTAGGGTAAGTCGGGATGTACAATTTTTGCGGTCGACCTTTTCTAACCCTCTCTCTCTCTGCAGAGTGGAGAGACAGTATAGCTGAGGGAAACGCCTCACTGCTGTTACACCCTTGTTCCCCAGCAGTACGACTTCGTCCTCAGACCCCCAGCATAGTGTAAGAAAGATTCTTACACAATGCCGGTAACTACTTTAAGTCTAATCGCTATTCTAACAACCTTACTGGCATGGTGGTAGGACCTGCAGGAACATTGGTTCCTGCCAGTGCAGCTTGTTGGGTAGTCGCGATGTGCAAGCTCGACCACCACCAACAGCTATCGGTTAGGGAGGGGTACTGCCAGAGACCTATTTCATCCTCGGAAAAAAAACAAATCTAATCTTTCCATACCACACTCTTGAAAATAAATTCATTGTTGAAAACAGTGTCTTTGCTGACTGAACGATCATCATTCAGTTTAATTTTCTACATGTCATTTTATATGCTTTTATTATTACTCTTTTCTTATATATTTCACAAAGAATCTATTAGGATTTTCAATTCTAATCCTGTATATTAATTATTATGATGCAATTATAATATTGAAAGATTCTACAGGAATAACTTCTGTACAGGTTATGTATGTGTGTATGTATGTATGTACGTCTGCATATATATATATGTCTCGTTACATGAAATTACTCCATCGAACATGGGATATTATCACTTGAACATATTAATGTTGATTTGTATCACATTTAACAGATATTATATCAAAATTACTAGTTGAATTGACATTCTTTTTAAAACTGACATTATCCACCATCATCAACATCATTATCGCCATCATTCAGATGATCGATCTACAGTGTCCAATCCTGTTGAATTTTCTTCAATGGAATTGTTCACTTCATTGACAAATGATATATTTCTGTCATTTTGAACAGAAGAAGAAGAAGGCGAAGATAACCAAGATGATGTTGTTGACGTTCTAGTTGTTGTTGTTGTTGATGCAGGAGTAGCTATTTGTAAATGAAATCGATTCATCACATGATCATTATTATTATGATGAGAAACAAGTCGATGTAATTCCCATTCACCAAGAAGAAGACTTGGTAATTCATAATGATGAAAGAAGTAGATAATTGAATGCAGGATAAACAACCAAGAAACCATAAGAGCAACTCCACTAAATTGACCATTGAAACGATAATGATAGGCATAAAATCCAAAATGATACATGTAGAAAAATCTGAAACATAAGACATACACGAATATATATATTAATACATAACACTACAAATTCTCCAAGATACCCAAATTTATTTGAATAAAGAAAAACCATTCAGCTAGAAAAACTGTCAGACAGCTGTTTTCTCCGTCCCGGTGTGCTTCGGATTGGGCTCTTCAGCAGTAGGCACCCGCACCACCTCAGTGGAGTTTGAACCCAGGACAAAGGCAAGCGAGCTAGATCGTAGATAATTAATTCAGTCAGTCACCCACTCACTCAATGGAACCCGACCCAATGGCCAGTCAACCAGTTCATGAATTCCAACTTCTACCACCGATTCACACACGACATAGCCAGACCACATCAATCGAAATGTCTTATTTGATGATTTACTGTCCTCACCTTCAACTTGCTGTACCCTACACTGGTCACGGCTTCTCACTAGAGCCCAAGGTGTAACTACCTCTGTGGTGAGAGCAGGCTGCTAGCCAATTGGTAGACATCAATTTACGTCAATGTCTATGTCGCTAATATTGACCATGAGAAAATATGAACAAGGCTGATTCAACAACACCAATCACAGCAGACCTAATGTGGGTAAATTAGATTCGCAAATATATGGCTTAACTTTCCGAGAAACTAGAAACAACCAATCAGAAGACTGTGTTTGTCTGATTGAATAAGCTATAATAATAATGTACATGAAATATATATAAATACTTGGTGATTTCCATAATAAAACGATCTGTTGCCTGGTACTTGTCTTCTGCTGTTACACCTCTACGTCAATAGGGCCAGTAGTCGCTAGTGAGCATCAGATCAACATTCAAGTATTGATAACTGATGTCAGTGCTCATCATGAAGTCGTCGAACCAATCAAATAAAATCACTACAAAACCAATACTTGAGCAACCACTTTTAATTGAATAGAAAATTTGTTAGTAAATTAAAAATGTGTCCTAAGAGTATACCCTGATTATGACGATGATAATTCTGTGGTTCATCTTTGCAGAAACTGTGCACAATCTCTGTGTCTATCAGGCATTCAGATAACTTCATACTTGGTTAACGTCTTTTTACAATGCCTGACTACTGATTGGTTTCACAGTAGAAATTTACACAGATGTGCAGCCGATCGAATCGCCACACTTCACCTTAGCACACAAAAGAGAAGAAAGTAAAAGAAATGCAAACAAAGATATGAGGTAAAGAGAAAAATAATATGGAAGGACAATATAGTTTTATTGGATATTATGAGTCACAATGAGTGGATGCATCTGCCCCAGTCAGCCGTATAAGCCAACTGTCTCCAAGTCTTCATTGCTTTTTACCGTCTCGAGGAACACAACCAACCAGTCAGGAAGTCTACATCTCCCTACGTGACTGGCTAGCTTAAAGTAGCTGTTGCGGATTCTACCAACACTGACTAGCTCTTTTCCAGCCTGATACATCCACCCTATATCAGTCAGCTAACATTGCCTATTGTCGAGGAAGGCGATGGCTAGTCTTGCATGTGTGTATCCTAACCATCTCTCTCTCTCTCTATCAATGCGGCTGCTTCACAACCTTGTGTATTGATTTCCCTTCCTAGCACCTAGCACCTGACCGAAGCCTAACCTCAATATTGCTCACCCTTTTACACTACTACTTGACACGCGAGATAGAACACTGACTGACAGCTACCTAGTCAGCCTTTTCATATATTCCACTTTTAATGGCCAGGTCTCACAGTCAGCCATCCATAAAAGAGGGCTGCTGATCAGTGCACACAGTGTATGGTCGATAGCTGAGTATCGATAGCTTCTGTATCCATGCTGGAATTTCGTCAGCGATCAACCCGCTGGCGTTGGTTGATGAAACTTCACCAAATAAGTGAAGTGGTCAACACGCTCTAACCACTTTACTCCTGCCTATCTTTAAGCTAGGAGTCAATGTAGCTCAGTTCAGTCCTGTAGTCTCATCATGTTACATGTAACAGCAGAAAGGAATCACATGCCAAACATTTGCAGATTACAGCTTAAGGTGTTCAGAAGACTCTGGTGGATTTTGTCAGCGTCCTAACCTAGACGAACTGTATCACCTGCATATTCTAAGACAACGAGATTATGAGCTGGTAATATATAATCAAGTCGATCGTGAGTACCTTAAGTCAGTTGGGGTTAATTCCATTAGTACATGAATGATGAAATTAAACAGGCTGCCTAGTTAAGAGGGAAGAAATGTGAATGTTTATATATATATATATATATATATATATATATATATATATATATATATATATATGAAATTCTCAAGAAAAATAACTATCCAAAGAACTTCACCAACAAAATCAACACCAACACTAAATATAGTCGAGAATGTATTCCGAAGACATGGATGGACCACAACACTTGTCATTCCATATGGTCCAGAGACGTCAGTTGATAGATATTAGAAGAGCGCTCTATGAACACGACATCGGACACACTAAAAAAGCGACCTTGTCCATATAAAAGACCAAATCCTTAAGGGTTATATCTGTGTCTATAAAATAAAATGCCTAGAATGTGATGCAATATGCATGCGACAAACATTGTCAAAGACTAGTCAACATCAGAAAAAATATGAACACCGTGGAGTATCTTTTCGATTACCGAGAAGTAAATCCAGTTAATGAACTCGAGAAAAGCTTACAAAAATCATCAGCCATAAGGGTCGTTTACACGCTATGGAATCAGGCCACCGAAAATGATTTTGACAATAATATTGAAATCATCATTCGGAAACAGTTTTTTTCAGAAATCACAAAGAACGTTTCATCATATCATCAGAAACCCTTCATATCATCAAATGGAATGCGAATTGCCTCAACTGAACAGGATTGATTGACTAAAACAGAATTTGACCTGATTTTGCAACACAACACCTCGTCGATTTCTTGTATTCTATGACAGAATAAACAACACAATTGTGATAAGCAATTTCACTATGTAAACAAATACTCTTTTGTATATTGTTTTATACGCTTATAAAATCCAACAATGTACAACCTGGTTCTGTTATATCCTTATCAGTTGGCCAACTTGACAACATAAAAAACGATCTCATGCTGAACGATGAAAAGCTGATATTTTGTAAACAATTCTGGTTTAAATATTTTTTTTTCCTTCACGTTCCCAGTGGAACATAGGGCCTCAAAGCTAGTGGCTTGAAGTTTCTCTAGCAGTGTTTAATTTTTACAGAATGAGGTTGCTAGCCTCATCTGGCCCAACCTTTCCTCTTTACCAGCATTATTTCTGGCTTAGCGAGGTAAAGGAGTGCGTCTGTGGCCGGGGATCGAACCCCAGACCATGTGAGGCATGGTCGGCGTGCGTCCTAACCCCGCTATGCCACCGACGCTCTGGTTTAATATTACTACTTTGATAAAGTTGTTAGCAGCAGCAGCAGCATTAAAACGTCAGTAAAAACGATACTGCTGTTTAGTTTTTTATTCATTGAAAACCGCAAACAACCTTTTATAGTATAATCAATACCTATACTACTACTACTACTAGATTAGGAATGAAGTTGGGCTTTTTGATGTGAGACGACTACTCACAGAATGATGATGAGATACCAACACACCCCAAAGATGATGGATGTGTGTGACATTTATACATACATCATCTTTATGCGAAGAAGTCCAGTACACCCTGTTCAAAGACCGCGGGTATACACTGCTGGATTGCTGGTAAGACATATTCTGTCATGAATTAGTAAATGACGAGTGCGTCGGTGGCACAGCAGGAGAATGCCCGTCAATCAATCAAGTAAGTGGTTTGGGGTTTGATCTCAGGCCGACGCCCTCCTTTACCTTTCACTAAGTCAGTAATTATAAGACTGGTAAAGCAAGAAAGAAAGGAAGAAAGCTGGGCATGAGACTAGCAACCCCCAATCCCGTAAAAAGTAAACACCATCAGCTTGAAGGTACCCCATGTTCCACACAGGGGGCGTAAAGGAATAAAATAAAAAAGAGGAAGTAAACGAAAATGCCAGGTAAGGGTGGGTTATCCCCCCCCCAAAAAAACACAAAAAGATAGATATGAGAGAGATAGTGAAAGACTCAATTGACTAACCTTGGCCAATATTTTCTGCTTAGTCCAGTACGACAAAATACCGCTTCGTATTGATCAGCAACACTAACAATTACAATGACATAAAATGCTGTGATGGAATCCCCGAAAAATTCAGACATTATAGTTTCTATAGCTGAAAATTATACACAAACAATACAGATAAACATATTACACCCATATTATACTTTGATTATCAAGCAAGTAATTATGACGATTAAAAATCCTTAGTCTGAAAACAGATAATACACAGCAGCATTATACGAATGTATGATTATTATTATTATTGTTTCCTTTACTTTCTAGAGGAACATAGGGCTTCTTCAGCCGCACATCTCTATTGCGTCCATGGTTCACCACCACGTTTCATCATCTAGCTCCATGTCTGCCCACAGGCGTTCATCTCATCTTCACATCACCGCCTCCACCTTCTCCATGTCACCCTCGCACACAGATGGCCAACTAACTCGCCCCTTACTCCTCCCATTCGGGTCCTACTCGAAAACGAGAGGGAGAGAGGGAGAGCCTGGAGCCTGTGATGTCACTATTCACTTGGTGACTTGTTGTCTCACAGTGTGGCCACAATCCAATCCACCTCCATTTCTTCTTGCATATTTGTTGCACAATTAGTTCATATACGAATGTGAATATGAACTACAAGATAACCAAAATGGTTACATTGATTAAGCCATTTTGAAAAAAAACCCACTTTGTACAGTGGAGTAGCAATGATTAGTTGCTCTGTCTCTATCTAACTAAAATCCTAATGTAAATTGATATTTGCAAGAGTATAATCATTCTCTTGGGTTCCACGTGGAACAAACAGCTTCAATAGCACGTCTCCTTTTTCTGCTGTCCTGCTCTCTGTAATTCTCTTTAGACGGACCGACGACTGCCCATATCGTTTCATCAGCTTACTAAGATGATCTTCATCTCACCCTAGGATCAGGCCCAACTTGTCTTTTCCCATCCGCGTTCCTTTAGATTGATGGCCTAGAAAGCATGTGCCTGATCTACCTCCATGCTCTTCTGCATAAATGATCAACACTAGGTTCTTGGTTGATTCGTTCTCAGAGTTTCTTGTTAGTAATCCTTTCGGAAGCGATCTAGCAAAGTCAGCTGTTGCTAAAAGTTTGAATCCTAACGGATATATGCTGTCGTTGACACATATAGCGTAATTGGCTAACCGTGGTGTTAAAAATCCAAATTTTGTTGATTATATATTGAGTGCAGAAAATGTAACCAACTGAATTCACAGTGATGAATGTCTCACCTGGCTGTCCAGTCTCCCCGGTGGCTTTGACAGCGTGTGACTGCCTGTAATTGAAACGATGCTCCCTAGATAAGTAAAGGAAGCAACCCCTTACAAATACCTAACACTCCACGGCCAATTTCAATGTCATTCAACTTATTATACCGCATATTATATGAAATGCAGAATGACAACATCTGTGTTCAAAGACAGCTATCCTTTCCATCACATCTTCCACTCTCAATGTCCACTTTTCCGAACCACTGGATATAAAAAAAGCACCTGTAATGTAGCGGCGGCTTTTGTCTTTGTCCTAAAACGGATATTTAGAATGTTCAGTTTAATTGTGAAGACACCTTACACAGGATTAAGTTGTCTACGGTGGAACAGACACACTGCACATTTTTATTGACTGTGTTATACATCTTACAACCAACGCATCAACATTTAGAGAAGACAGACAGCTGCAGAATGCCACACCGAGTTCTAGGCGGTATTCAATTATCGACATATTTGAAACACGTCGTGGATGCAGAGGAAGAGGCGAGTGAAGTTCAAGTATTGGTATGTAGGGATTCGGTTGACTGGTTACAGGATTTCATAATGAGTTGACATTGGTTAGGGAACCATTGGAAAACCTGGGAGTACAGGATCGGGTCCCATTGGCTTAATGGTATACGAGCTCGCCTTGTAACCAGGAGGTCCTGGGTTCGAACCCTGGCGGTGGGTGCGTACTGATGAAGAGTTCTAAACTAGGACGAAACAGCCGAGTGGAGTGTTGATGATTTTATTACTAGGGTGTCTTCACTTCTCCAGATTATTATCTCCCTTGTGTAAATATTAATACTATTATCACCCCTCTGTTTTTCTACCGAGTGGAACATAACGCGCTTCACCAGCACATCTCTCTATTTCATGCTGTTCTCTGCAGACCCTTTAAATAGATAGCTCCAAACGTTGACCATAAGCTCTGATCTCCTCATACGATCCTCTTCGACTCACCACCATTAGACTCCCAACCAGCCGTCTCCACTCAAGGATCCTAGTAGTGTGGTATTTCACTCAACCGTGTGCTCAGCGTTATGTCCAATCCCTTCCCCATTCTCTTCTGCATAATTCAAGGGCAACAGGTTCTTCGTGACTTCCGCTCCACAGTTCGATGTTGTCTTCCTCTTTCCGACAATCTGGTCTTCAGTGTGACACCAAAGAAAGTGTTCATGAAAGTCAAGTCTACAGCCTTTTGGAAATGTCACTCACTCGTGTGACACACTCACTAATCTCTACACCATAAAGAGAAACACTAATTCGATATACATTAGTGTTGAAAATCGGATTCTTCTTCCTTATATGCTGATTGATTAGGACGGATTTGCAAACGATTTCAGCCTAGCAATGAATGTCTGTATTGTCTTTCGACTCCTGTTCAATGGCATCCGCCATCTCCTGATCTCCTTCAAAAATTTCTGCTTCTGATGATGATAAAGGTCTGTGCTTTTTGTTGTTGGTTGACGCATATCTTCATCACCTCTGTCTTCTCCATGTTCACTTTAAGTCCTGTGTTTGCTGTTTCTTCTGCCAGTTTTCGCCTGCAGGTTTTAACTTTTGACTTTGTGTGATATTAGACATAAATCATGCAGAAGTTAGAATTCAAGGACCATTGGATCGGGTCCCAGTGGCTCAATGGTCTACGAGCTCGCTGGCCTTGTAACCAGAAGGTCCTGGGTTCGAATTCCGGTGGGTGCGTACTGCTGAAAAGTCCAAAACTAGGACGAAACAGCTGTCCAGTACTCCCTGCAGGTTTTCCAGTGGTTCTCTAACTGATGTCAGCTCATGATTAAATCCTCCATGCAATAAATCATACAAGCGCGAAATCCAAACTTTCTACAGTCTTTTTACCGGTTCAACATGTATTCATGTCTTCTCATTCCCCACGCATCAAACTGTTCCGCATAATCCAGTCCACACCACCCCACCCCACCCCCCAAATGGGAGAAAATCATCAGTCATAGTATGCTGGAGGGCTTTGTCTTACTCCTTACTTACTTCACTTCAGAGGCTTCTCTGAGTTTTCTGTTGTGAATCACTTACCACGTAAAATCATCGTCATCACCACAGAATTGTTGCATTAGGCCTATAAAAGCTTGTGAATCCCTGTCGTCTTGAAGGAAGCTGTCTTCGAAGTACTTCACAGTCAATGACACTGTCGAAGTCATTTTCAGCAGTGTTGATGAAGTTGGCATGGAGATTCAACTTGCACTTTTGATGATGTGTTCCGCACATGATTTGCTCCTCCTACCTAAAAGGTGGTCGTGACTTAGTTTACATTTTTCAGTCTCTTGAGGATGACAACACGATACAGTGAACGGAAGCATGATTCGCCAGCAGTTTTCATATATGTCCAAGTAACCTTCCTTCCGAAAACCTCACAATAGTATCGTGAAGATATCTTCTGAGGTGGTCTGCATCCGTATTCGCTGGCTGTGGAGGAATACCGTCTGTTCCTGCTACCTTTCCACCTTTCAGTAGACTCTCAATTACACCTTGAAAGTCACTTGAACTAGCCAACATCTGAGGCTGCATCTGCTGCAGTAGACTGTTTCTATACTTTCTTGAGATTAAGATAAGGTCTGTATGGTTTTTGGTGTACCCGTCAGGTGTAATCCATGTCACACTGTGTATATCTTATCGGTCCTTGTGTTTGTGCAAACGATATCCGATCACCAAATCATTGAATGCACGAAAGTCTGTGAGCAGTTTTCTCTTCTTATTGATTTCACCAACCAACAGCCTTCTGACCCATATTCAGTTCTCTCCACTCCATCCCACACCGCCAACAAGCACTTGGCTTTCAGCTAATAGGTCCCGGGTCTAAATACCGCTCGACCTACTTCAGCCTGAACAGCTGGAAAGCATCATCAGCCCTTATCTCATAATCAGTAGGCTCATAGTTTAAAAGAGGAAAGATCGGTTCTAGCCACTGAGTCCAAATATATATTTTTTCAGCCATGTCTATTAGTGTGCACTTGTGGGCCGCTAGAACTCTTCCTTCTTCCGCGCTGTTTGTAGACATGAAGCATTGAATATTTGTACCTTCCCTTCATTTCCAGTATGTGCATCTAGTAGAACTCATTTAGCCTCGTGCTAATCAAACGCTACCTTCAAACAACAACAAGTTATTAGGGAAACACGAGTCTGCACACTGTGCACTACCCCTTCTCATTCAGTTCATCCAGCGTCTTCTTCTGATCATCCATCCCTGATGACTACTTCTCTTGTGTTATTTGTACTTAAAGTCTCACACTCAAGTCGTCAATTAGAATTCGATGTTGTCATCTGACTGGAGTCTTGTCCACTACTACACTACTGCTTTTCTGCACTTGTGTGTGTGTGTGTGTGTAGAGAGAGAGAGAGAGAGAATCGCTTCCACTGACATGTGAGTTGTTTACAGGTGTTCGAAGTATTGCATTATTGTAATCTCTCCTTCTTTCATTGCGTTGCGTCATTCCATTCGAGTTGAGTCATGATAGATACTGAAGGAGATCGATTCCCATCGTACGCTAGTTGCCTTACTGTTGTTGGTGACTTCATGACAGCCAGTACACCTTGGTATGCTCATGGTTCTTGCCTGATTGTTCACAATGTGGTTGTTTAGGGGTTTAGAGTACTTCGTAGTGTTGAAGCTGTTTGCAAATTACTTCATGGTCAACACTGTTGAACTTGTCTTCAACGTCGATGAACCTGAGATAGAGATTTCACTTCCACTTTACACATCGACGCTGTATCGTTTTACAATTTAATCTGCCCATGATTTGCTTTTTCCGAATCCAATTACTTTTTAGGGGGCAGAGGTCATATTATCCAGTGCATATTTTAGTCTCTTTTTA